CTATGATGATCCCCAGTTGCTACAGACTTCAGTCCCCATAATCCCAAATCAGACTTTTCTATTAATAAAATAACTACAATTAGTCATAACAACCCTAGATTCTAATAAACTGAAGGCAATTTGGTGAATTCCAGGAAGCTTTTTTTACCATTTTCTTTTGGGGGACATTTCAAAAATATTAGATGGTGCCATCTCTTCTTATCATACATTTCAGAATGTCTGTGGGACCTATGTGGAGCTGTGTTGCGTTCTTAGGAATGCAGGTAGTTCTCAACTTCTAACAACCATTCAAAGTTATGGTGGTCTCAGAAATAATAAAGCACTTCTGGCCTTCCTAAAAACATCTCTCCCTCTCTCTCTCTTTCTCATACACAGAGAGGGGGGGGAGTGGGGTAGGGAGAGAGAATCCTGTGATCACAATCTTGTGCTTGGCAACCTGTTTGCACTTATGATGAGTTGCCAAGCACCATTTTCAATTTTCTCTGCTGGCTTCCCCGGAAGATCATTGGGGAAACCGGCAAAGAAGGGTGCAAGCTGCTACTGCAGCTTGCTACAAAGCTGAGATTTCCTGCCGGCAAACAACCCTTTGAGAAGGAAAGGGCTGCTGGCAGAGGGGAGGGGAACTCCTCCAAAGGGCTGCAGAAACAGTGCCAAGCTCTGCCGCAGAGCTTCCCTTCCACCCATGAAGGGAACTGCCTGCCCTCCTTTGGCAAGTAGTTCTTTCGCTTCACCTGCTTAATGACCCCCACAGTTGCTTTAACAACTGCAGCTGGGGGAGCAGGGATTATTGTTGTTTAAAGAAGTAGTCATGTGGACATCTTACTTAACCACTGCTTTGCTGAGATTCTGGACCCAACTGTGGTCATAAATCAAGGACTACTTCCAATGGTGAAATTATAGATGATGCTTTTATCATACAGAATTATATAAAGGAGGAGTTGGAAGGGGCCTTACAGATAATCTAGTCCAGGATTTTTCAAACTATGAGGAAAAGAAGGGGGGGGGTTGACAGGCCACCTATCAATGATTTTAAAGAAAAATAACCACCTCCCAGTTGTTGAACATTGATTTTTGTTGTTGTTTAAAACATCTGTCCAGTGAATTGTGAAATTCAAGTTTTAGTTTTTGTACATTGGAAACATTAATGTTGTATGTATAATTAAAGTTAACTTTTTATATTTACAATAAGGACAGGAATTTTCTGGGACAATGTGGAGCACCCATTTTTGTCAATTTGAGGTTATATATTAAAGTCATTGATGTTTGGATAAATGATGAAAATAGGTTTCATGTTATTGTCAGTTTTCTAGTGGTAGAGCATTGTCTTTGAGCAGGGATTCCAGGATGTGGGTTTGTTTGTTTTTTTTAAATTAACAGGTTTTGCAGCTTGAAAAGGTGTGAAAACTCTGATCTAGCCCAACCCCTCTGCCCAGGGCAGGAATCTGTTACTACAGTGTCCCCAGCCAATTCCCCATTTTTTAAAGTAAACCTTCAACAACAACAACAAACAGATTCCACCTAGGGAAATTTGTTGCGTCTCTTTCCTTGTAGTTTAAACCTTCCGATTCTTTTTCTTGCCTTCTGAAATAATTCTGAACAATTCCACCCACTGCTTTACATATGAATCCTTCAGATACTTGAAATCAGCAATTCTGGCTGTCTGCAGCCCTCTCCTCAACAGAGTAAACATACCCCTCATTCTTCATCGATTTTCCTCCCAAGCCAGGCAGTATCATTTAACTGCTCTTCAACCCATCCCACCAATTCTTCCTCTGGTTCTCAGTTCTCTGCAGCTTCTGCACCTGCCGTTGCCCCTGTCTTGTGCCCACGTTCAGGTGATGGTCTATATGTGACTTCCAAGAAATCATTTACTGGACTTGGAATTCGCTAATGCCGTTCCTTTTTTCTGGCCCTTAAAAACCAACACGCTTCTTTAAGCATGAAGGCAGTTTCCCCCCAAACATCGCGTTCCCCACACTGCAACTGCCATCTCCTAAGTCCACACGATCGGCGAGATCATTTTGTAGTCCAAAATTCCCTGCGGGCACCTCGTTGGAGGAAGCCGCTCTAAAACGCCTTCGAAAATGGGGCGGGGCCTCTAGGGCAGCATTCGGGGAAAGTACCTCAGGCGCTCCGCCAATCTTATTGCGTCACTCTTGTTCAGCAAACTCCAGAATCGGCGGGGTCCACAAGTGTGAGTTTAGGCATCCTTTGGTTTCATATTTATTTAGAAAATTCAGCTTCCGTGCCATCAGCTTGCAGGATCTCCAGAGGTTTTGCACATAGAGACCTGACCTGTCTTTTCACTCGTAGCGGGCATGGTTTACCCTCCCCCTACTTAAGCTTATCCGCGATCGGAGGTGGGGCGGCAAGAAGTAAGCTCTTTATTGCCCTGGAGTAAAAATGCCTGCTGGATTAAACGCCCAAGCAGCACATTGGAGGAACCCGGCGTGCTTACCGGTGGGACAATCGCCTTTAGTGTGCACGCACGAGCGTTATCAGCCAGACTCGGACGGGGACCGCGTGAACGCTGAGCCTAAAGCACGAGGCTGAGCCTCTTCCAAAATCGACCTTTTCGTCTTCTGTCCCACAACTGCTGGATTGAAAAATAAGGAAATAGCGCCCCCTGGACCGCATGTTCTCTGTGGAGAGGCCTCCGCGGACGCCCATTAGGCGCGCCAGGCCAGGGCGTTAGCCCGCATCTTGTCTTGTTGCTAAGCGCCGCCGTTGATGCGCGTCAGAACCAGACAGAGCCCCTCCATCCATAGCCTTGGCTCTTGAACGTTCACGTCAGCCTTCAGGGAATTGCAAAGTTCCCTCACAAGATTGGACTGAGGCAGGGCTCCTTGGGAATATAGTTGAAATGTTGAAAGGAAGGAATGGGTGCTGTCACAAAATGCATGGCCATGGTGCACATAGCCATTAAAAATTATCAAGAGCCAAACAGCAATAACATTATGAATACACCACCACTACCATCCTGGGGGAAAAAAAATCCATAAAGATCAGAGTAGGGTTTCAAATTTGTGGGCACACTGTAACCATGCCAGGTTGAGGATCCAGAAACTGGGTGTAAGATTACTATTTTCCTGAATTTTGAATAAACACCATGGTTTACTTTTGGGGAACTGCATTTTCAAGGCATGTTACCCTTGAAGAAATTTGAATTAGGGATAAAACAAGCCAGGGCAAGACGCTTAGAATAGTTGAACTTATTTTTATATGGCTGGGAACAGCCTCTCCACATTAGGTGCTCTACAGAAGTGTGTCTGGCTGGGAACAATGGGAATGATAGCAGAGTACAGTTAGAGATCACCACATAGGGTACACCAGCTCACATGCAAGATCAAAGAGCTTTGGCAGAGATTTCTTGAGGGCAACCATCTGGCTTGGCTTCCCAGTTTACTTGCAGTTCAACCTTTCTGAACTTGAATCCTGGCTTCTCTCCCCAGATGGAGTTGCTTACTTGTAAGAGCCAGCTCTGAAGAGAAAAGAGGATCCAGGCCTTGTGCCTAGATAGCTAAGGGAAAAAAAGTGGGCTGTTGTGCCATTGCTGTCTGTACCAGATGCTAGCAAGGAAAAATCCCAGGCAGGGAATTGTTTGCAGATCCTGGAAGCCTTTTCTCTGTCCCATCAGTTCCACACATCTCCTGGCTGTTTTTCTTTCTTCTATCTTTTCAATCTGCAATTGGCTGGCTTTTAGGCACCTTCAGGGCACCAGCCTTCAGGATAAGGACCCCAGGGATGGCTTAATCTGGTCTCCACTGCAAAAAAACTGTTCTCCAGATGGAAAACTTCCCCCTTCCAGTTTTGCTGCAGGATCTCTCAGCATGCCTTCTTTTCAAGGGTGCCAAGAAGTGACCGAATGCCACAGACAATGGGAGTGCCTTAACACTTCCTGCTGGCTGAAGTATGACCCTTAAGAGCGCACACCTCCAGGATCTACATGCACGCTCAGATTTCATGTGGTTTCTTCTGCCATCTTCCTCTTCCATTTCTACCACAAGGAGCTTGGGCAATTTGCTACACTTAGGCTTCAGCCTCTGATGCTGATGTCCTGCAGAAAGGATGGTCCTGCTCTTCTCACTGGAAAGGGACTTTTCTCCCACGCAGCTCATCATTTCCCCTACCTGAAGCTTTTCAGTTGCACTGGATGCACATGGATGCTCCTGATGGTACACAGTTGCAGATCCCAAACTGGAGAAGGTTAATACAGGCCTTCCAGAGAGACCCTAGTGAGACTGTGATAAGGCAAAGAAGCAAAGAGGCAGATTGGGAATAAAGGTGCCTCCCGTAAGTTTCCCTTCAGGTCAATAAGAAACCCGGATTTAGTAAAGCGGGAGGAAGGAAGTACAGCATTTAATCTGGTAGAAGCCATCGGAATGAGGCTGGCTGGCCATTTCTAGAAAAGGGAACCGCCTTGCATTCCGCCTAGGCTGGGGCTTCTGTGACACATAAAATAACTTTGCACATGCTCTGGGGGGGGGGGGGAGGCGTCTCTTCCTTCCTGCAGCTTTGCCAGTGCTGAACTCTGGCACCGAAACAGGTCCGGGACTAAAGGCTCGACTTCCACGAAGTACTCTGGCTCCTCCGGGACTGTGCTCCCGGGTCTTGTGTTGACTTTGCCCGCTGGCAGCTGCGAGGGGAAGCCCGGCCCAGGCGGCATTGTTGTCTCAGCCGGTTAATCAGATCCTACGAGCCGCTGTGGAAATATCGGGCCTCTGGCCGAACAATAGGGCCCCAGGAGGTGGTGGTTAAACTTCAACCAGCTGAGCTTCCCCTCCCTGCCTGCCAGAGCCCAGGGAGCCGGGCACGCGAATGAGCCAGAGACACCCCAACACACACACACACACACACACACACACACACACACACACACACACACACACACACACACAGAAGTGACGGTACACACACACACACTTCCAGGCTGAGAAGTGAGGGTAGCCTAGAGCCGTGGATCATTCCTCCTCCCGCCTCCTGCCTTTTTATCATTAGCCCAAGATTGATTATGATCTAGGACTGGAGGGCGCGCTCCCCCACCCTTCTCGGCGCCCGGGGACGGCGTTTACAGCCCGACCCAATGACAGTTGCTTCGGCTGCGCCAACGCCGTCCCTGGCACGAGGCAGCGCTCTTCGGACGACAGCCTCGATGACCCCTTTGGCACCTTCGGCCCGGAGCACGTGGAGTCGGGAGCCTGCGGGAGGGGACGAGGGCGGCACTCCCGCGGAGGAGGCGCGCGTCCGCCTCCCCAATGACAGCAGGTGAGCGAGCGGCGGAGGTGGGTCGGGCGGGCTCCTGCCTCTCCCCCCCCCGCCCACCTCCCGGTCGGCGGGGCCCTGGCAGCGGCAGAAAGGTTCCGCGAGGAGGAGGAGGAGGAGGAGAAAAGGGAGGGAGAGAGGGCCGGCCACGGGCTGGGTGCGGTCCTGGCGGTCCCCGATCCGGATTTCTTCAATTTCCCCTCTCCGTCGCTCACTCGTGCTCTCCGAGCTGAGGCGCAGTCAGAAAGAGCAGCAGCTCCGGCGGCAGCACTGACCGCTAGAGCGCGGCGGCGACGCTTTAACCGCGGCAGCCAAAACAAACGGAGCCCTCGCTATTTATTGGCGGCGGCCGGAGCGGGCCGGCTCAGAGCGGCCGACCAGCTCACCTGCCCCCCCTCGCCGCATGGCCGCGGCCGCTGCTCCCCTCCCGGGGCAGCCCGGCCGTCGCCGCCGCCGTCGCCGCCGCTCCTCTTGCAGCGACTCCCGCTGAGCTCCTGTGGGTCGTCAGAGCCATGAAGGCGGCGCGGCTGCTGCTCCTCCTCAGCGGCTGCGCGCTGCTCCTGTTGGCGCCCGAGGTGCGCGGCTGCGGGCCGGGCCGTGTAGTGGGCAGCCGCCGCCGTCAGCCCAGGAAGCTCATCCCTCTCGCCTACAAGCAGTTCAGCCCCAACGTGCCCGAGAAGACGCTGGGCGCGAGCGGCAGGTACGAGGGCAAGATCGCCCGCAACTCGGAGCGCTTCAAGGAGCTGACGCCCAACTACAACCCGGACATCATCTTCAAAGACGAGGAGAACACCGGCGCCGACCGCCTCATGACCCAGGTAGGCGCCGTCCCTTTTGCACGCCTGTCGCCTCTTTAGCTGGGCGCTTTGACCCAGGAATTAGCGGGATCCCCGGGCTGTGTAGGGATCCCGCGCAGGTGTCTTGCGCACTCCTCTCTACGCCAGCCGAGCGCACCGCGCGGGAACACCTGTTTGTCCCATCCCGGCTCCGGGACACCTGTCTGGCGCCCCAACCCTGGTCGTTCTGTTGATTCTTGGGTCGTAAAGAAAGCGAAGGGCAGTTATGGGAGCCCTGGGAAGCCTAGGGAGAATCCTCGGGCTCTCGTTCCCAGGGTGAACAGTTTGGCTTTTTCGGTTGTGCTCGTCTCCAGCCCGAGATTCAGGATCTCCTTGTTGGGGGGAAGTTTTTTTTAAAAAGGACGGCCGCCTCATGATAACTAACCTTCCTGTTCCCGGTTTAAACCAAATAGCAGTTAGACCGTCCGTTTTACGCGCCAAGACAATGGATGGCTGGGCACCAGTTCCGCGTGCGCGGAGACACGATCCTGCTGATGTACTCCGGACTCAGAACTATTATTTCAGATGTATGAAGGAATTAGTAGGATGGGAAGAATCGAAAGTATTTGGATACCGTCTTCCTGTTCCTAAGAGGGTGGGAAATGTTATTTTTTGCCCGTTCCAAAGAGAAGAGGCACAATTTCTGGAGACCAAGGAAATGACTTCAATGATACCAAGTCCACATTCAAAAGCTAGAGAAATCTTTGCTCTTTGAACTGAGTAGTAGACCCACCTGCCTGAAAATAAATTCTATGGAACTGAGTAAGATTTGCTTCAGAGAAGGCATAGCTACGATCACTCAGCCAGCAGAGTGACTCTGATTGTTTAGACAGGAAGGATAATTAACCAACTTATTCTTTTAAATCTTATTTCCCCTTGGTACCTTCCAAAGTGAGGGGAAAATCCAGTATGATGTGCACGGAGTCCTTTTTTGGTTTTAGCCCCTCTCAACCAACTGTAAAATAGAATAAATGAAACCAAGCTATTCAGCGAAAGGGCTTGGGTGAGGATCCTTCCTTCAGACCAGGTTTCCAAATTCAGCAATTCTTTTCAGATCAGTGCTTGTCTTGGACTACAACTCCCATAATCTGCTAGGGGGTCAATGGGAGTTTTAAAGAAATGCATGAGCAGGGAAGGCTGCTTATAGTGAAGGCTAACGCAGTTCCCCAGGCTCCAGCTGTCTGTATGGATACTCAGTAGAAACCTGGTGAAGCATCATGCTCTCTTATCTTGAGTAGGCAGTGCTTTGGGGGGCGGGTAATGCTTTTTATGCCTTTTTGTAGGATTTGCACATACAGTATATGGCTTCCCAGGGGAGCAGGAATAACCACCAGCTTTTTGCCCTCCCCAATTTTGCAAAGTCTCTTTCCTTAGCACTTAATTCAGGGTCAACAATGGCAACACCAGAAGACCTGAGAATTCAGGAAATTCTGAGCTGAATTGCACCATTTGAAGACAGTTCATAAATCGTTTAAAGCTTCTATCTTCAGAATCTGGATGTACTGTAAAGTAACTGCTCCTAGTACTCAGACTGATACCCAACATTGAATCTGAAGGTGTGATGGATACAAAGTGGTACAGTCACTCGAAACTAGATTTAAAAGTAGGAAACTCTGTAAGTGGAAGTGTAATTTAGGAAAGTGATATTACCTTCCAAGAATAAATGACTTTTTTATTTTTTAAAAATGGAAATCTCTTAAAGCAAATTGGTCTAGAAATCCTACTTAAATCTTACAAACCAAATAATTGGAAATTTACTTACTTTCCCAATCTTGAAGAAGGTAGCACGAACTTAGGCCTGAAAGGTGAGATACAAACAATTAGACAAATATAAGCAAAACCTGATAGCATCAGACCAAAGTCCTTATAGTTTGGCAATCTTCACAAGAAACTATACAATCAAATGATAGATGGACATCAGAACGTAGCCACTATTGTATTATGGGGTCCACTAGTAGCTGCTGGCCAGGAGAGCAAAATCTCTAATCTTCATTGTTGAGGTTGTTTGTAGTGTGACTATCAAATGCTGGGGATTAATAATTCAGCATGTGGATAGTTCAGCATATTCTACTTCTGGACCTTATAAAAGGGTTGGCTAAAATCAGGAGATAGAGGCTGGGCTATGGAGGCTACTGGTTTAATGCACTGGTATTTTCCAAGTGCTTCTAAGCCTACTACCATCCCTGTAACTTGTGATAAACCAATCATGCAACATTTTCATGTCAGATGATGTAGCAAGCAGCAGAACCAAAAAGCAGCAATGGTCCAGGTACTTTGGGCCAAAAATGCCTGGAGACATGAACATGGTGCTCTAAGACATGTTTAGGAGATTCAAGAGAACTAAATGGAAACACTAAATAAGCGCAAATTAATGCCCTGTTGTAATAGGTCCCTGGCTACTCTGACTTTGGTTAGCAAAAATAATATTTGAGGCCAAAGAGGGAGATTTGTCTGAACTCTGTCAGTCTAGTCCAAATATGTGTCTATAAGAAGCAGAGATTTTGCAAGGCACAGATCAATGAGAACTCTCCCCTGAATCAATCTCCCCTGTATTTTCATTGATAGTAATAGATTTTTCCCCATGAGTGTAATGCTAGATGTGGGGAGGGCTTGCATCAGAAGCAGCAACAGTTAATCATCCTCTCCATCATGTGCTGCAAACTGCAGAAATTCTGGTCTCCCAATCTGGCAATTTAAGATATAGACAGAGAGAGTTGAGGAAGAAACTTTCTGTTAGTGCCAATAGGGACATTAGTGAAACAACTGGGTGGGTGGGTATGCATAGATGGGGAGGGAAGAGTTAACCCCCTCTTTCCTGTGCCCCATGGACATCGGCCTTCTCCCACATAAAAATTAAATTTATGGAGAAAGCTTCAGCTGCAATCAGTTCTTCTCTCCAAAGTAGTATCAAGAAGGTAGCTGAGTTCTATTGATTAAAAGTGTTCCTAAATGGGATGTTTTGACAATCTTGGTTGATGGGGATGGGGAGGGGGAGACATAAAAGATTTCTAGGAGTAAGTGGTTCTTGAGGGCAGGGTCTCCATTGAAATCTCATTCGACTGTCCTATCAGGTTAAACAGGAAGGTAGAACCAAAGCTACTCACAACTTGTCTAATAAAAGTGGTGTCCTAGATAGATAAACTCCAGCACTTCTAACTGGGTTCAACAAGCTGCTTTGTTAGAGCTTTTTACCTGGATAGAAACAGTAGCTGTGGGCACATCTGGTTCTGGAAAATAGTGTGAAAGTCAATAGACACTGGATTTTCCTGGTCCGGGAAGTTCCTAGCCATGGAATTGGAAAAGAGAGGGAGAGCAGCAACCTCACATGAAAATGTATCACCAGCACTGGAAAAAACTGCTGGAATCCTGCTTTTGTGATTATTAAACTACTTTCTCTGCAGCCCAAACAAAGTGTTTTTACATCTGAAGCCCCAAAACAGATAAATAGAAAAGTGCCATTTCTGTGAAGGAAGGCCATTAATGAGTTAAAGTGCCTTATTCCTGTTTAAACTAATAATGCATATCATCCTTATCCAGCCCACCCCAACATGGTATTCTTCTGGGAGCCTGGCACTCTTATAATAATTCCCCAGCCAGCATGGCTAGTGGGGAAATTTTAAATTTACATTCTAGATACGGAAAATGAAAAACAAATTGATGAAAGCCTCACCTTTGAAAATGTCCCAAAACAAACATTGCCTACTGAAAGAGACAGAGAAATGGAGGGAGGGTGGAAGGGAGGGTGGAGTGAACAATCCTGGTTAGTTGGTTCCAGTTATTAAGAGCCAGTATTCTAGTGTTCTTTTTTTTTTTACTTTTCTAGAAATAAATGCTTCTTTTTATTTTATTTTATTTTATTTTTATTTATGCATGTATGAGTTTATATACATAAGGTTCGTGCTGCTGCAAAACGCGGGTGGATGGGAATAAAATAATAAAATGAAGTCTTCTCTCTTCCCTTTCCTGCTTCGCAAAGAGTGGTGAGCTTCAAAAAGATTTGGAGCAGGGAGTACAAGCAGCAGGGTCATCGAGGCAAGACTAAAGAAAAAGTCAGGGCTACCTTCAGGAGCAGCCTGAGTTGCTGCGTCACATTAATGCATATATTTATTTATTCATACAAAATACAATTCAATTAAAATAAATTCCTAACCATTGGTACCGCCTGCCCATTCCCCCCAGGCCGCGTCCATCCTCTCTAATCCTATATATATTATATATATATATATATATATATATTAATATCTCAAAAGGAAGGTCGGGGACCAAAGAAAAAGAAACAAAAGTATAAAATTACCTAACTATGCAGGATCCCATCTGGGTCAGTCACCGGGACCAGACATCTTGATTTCCGAGCTTTTGGATTCATGCTGGAGCCCACCTGTAAAGAATTTCTCTCTGCTGGAGAGAAGTTCCCTGAGGATGGGCTCCGGTACAAGAGTCCGAAAGCTCGGAAGACAGAAACTTCTGGCCCTGGTGACTGACCCAGATTGGATCCTGCAATATTATCCTGGGACATGTTAATAATAATAATAATAATAATAATAATAATAATAATAATAATAATATACAAAGACCTACAAATAGAAATAGAAAGACTGTGGCAAAAGCAAGCAAGGGTAGTACCAATAGTCATAGGCTCCTTGGGTGCAATCCCAAAACAACTGGAGCACCACTTGAACACCATTGGCATTGACAAATTCGCTATTAGTCAATTGCAAAAGGCGCCTTATTAGGAACTGCTTCCATCCTGCGACGATATCTGTAATACCATCAAACATCCACATCTGCCTATCCCAGGTCCTTGGGAAGGACTCAATAGGTAGACAAAATGCCAAATCCAGTTTGAACATCTGGCTGACTGTGCAATGATTAATAATAATAATAATAATAATATAATAATAATAATAATAATAATAATAATAATAATAATAATAATAATAATAAAGCTAGAAGGGAGCTTGGAGGTCAGCTAGTCCAACCCC